TCTTGCAGATCATCGATGGTTTGAACATTTTTGATGGGATCGGGTGTCCATTTCATGGTATCGAGCAACAATTTTTTAGATGGACCCCAAGAGGGAGGCAGTTTTTTCTTCAACTCTTTGTGTTTTTGTCGGAATTGCTCCAAGGCTATCTTGTAGATGGCACGTTCACGAGGAAGGAGTTGAAGAACATGATCGTCTGGTAAGGGAAAAGCTACGTTTTGTCCCTGCCACAGCATGAAAGGTATAGGAGGATCAATTTCCTCAATCTTCACGCAGTTGCCGTCGTCGTCGTCGTCGTCTTTGATGGGAATGTCAGCGTCTTTCAGAGCTTGATGGACTACATCCCACAGTTCTTGAGAGGTCATGTCTTTGAGGTCTTTTGGTTTCGAATCCAGTACCATGCCTGTGCGAGGGTAACGTTCTTGTGACAACATGGATTCAAACGCAGAATTGTTGTTGAAAGGATCCACGACGCCATCTTCTTCTTGCTGCTTCATGTCTATGTTGACGGCCACATTGTCCATTGTAGACGGACCACTCATTTTTGTTTTCCTGGTGATGCTTCCCCCACGAAAAAGCAATAAAGAATGAAGACCAAAACAAAAAGCAATCACTTTTCACGAACACGATGGACAAATCGCAACTCGCGTTTATCGCCCAGTTGGCCCAGGCTCCACCGTCTCGAGTAGTGCCCACGATTCGTTCAGCAGGACGACGTGACTGGCAATGTCTGAAAGAATTGTGTTGCCGTTTGATGGAAGGCAAGTTGCCGCACACGAAATTACCTCGAGAAACCAAAAAATGGTTCATGGGAGTGCATAATAACCACCACAAAGATGTGGATGCCTTTAGACGGTCTGTGACACAACGAGGCGGTAGCAAAGCAGAATTATTAGGTTCTGCATTAAAAGCCGTGGCCAAAGTGGCTTTGCCTGTCCTTAAAAATACGGGAAAGAAATGGGCCAAGAGAGCAGCTCAAGATGCCATTCAACAAGGTTCCCAAAAGCTCGTCGAGAGAATGACAACAAAGAAGAAGAAAAAGTCGACGACGACGAAAAACAATAAAATGTTCGAGGTGCCAGGAGTGTCGCCCAGTTCTGAGTTAACCACAGAAGAGATACTTGCTCAAGAGTTTTAATCATGGTCAAAAGAAAAAAACGATCAAGAGGACCCCAAGCTCCAGCAGCAGCCCCCTCCAAAGGTCGTGTGGGGAGGGCCACACCAAGATATCGAACGATACGTCATCCCTTTCATATTGCGTATTCGAGACCGTTGCCACACATCCCAAGTCAAGTTTCTAAGATAGCCGTCATGCGTTTGAAGACGTCTCAAAAACGACAAAACGATTTGACTCCAATGACAATGCATGGAATGGATGTGGTKATTCGCGGTCAGACTCAAAAGTTGTATTCAAAAGGACGTAAACTGGTCAAACGGTCATTGTAAACGATGTCGTCGTCGAATCAAGATATTGCCTATCTGGTACCCAAGACATTATGGGAACGCGTTCAACAAGACTTAAAACGTCACAAGGGAGGAATGGAATTGATGAAGTACGCTCACGATACAGACGATCCCCAACGTGGAGGGACCTTGCAAGGGATRAYAAGTACAGGGAAAGTCAATCCGTCTGATTTGATGCGAATGCTYGCCATTCAAATGAATTTGAACCAATCTCCCAAAGCTGCGTTTGTAGGCCATTCGGATAAAATGMTGAAACAAATRRTGAATGACCCAACACTGAGTGACGAAGACAAGATTCATTACATGTCATCGGCTCGAGATGCCTTTCGAACTCAGCGTCAAGCTGCCCTTCAGACACCTGAAGCAGTCGCCAAAGAATCCACAGCAAAARTAGCCCTACCACCACATCCGCCTCCAGTAGTGCACACCACGCCAAAGAGAAAAAGACCGAAAACGATCAAACCCAAAAAAATTCACTATGCCACTCTTCCAGCAGACGACAAAATTCAAGCCATTGAGAATCAAATAGAAGCCATTAGAAAGTCGCCAAAAATATCAAACGAAGGAGTACGACAAAAGTTGATTCAAACCCTGGAGACCGATAAAATGAAATTGAGGAAAACAAAGGCAGTATCCTACAAGTATTAAAATAGAAGAAAACGTCACCAGTTCTTCATTTGGAGTCAAGATGCCAAAGCAGAGAGGAGGGCATAAGCGCAAGAGGGTAGAAGTCGACGGCGACGACGACGGGGAAGAGAACATTCAAGAAGAAAAGCATGTGACCGAACCCTCGAGAGTCAAAAAGGTTTTGAAATCGTCTGTGGATTTATTCACGGAACCCCTGATCGACACGACAACCAAACGAACCAGTTATGAAACCTTTATGCAACAACAAACGACCATGGATCCGCTCATCATCACTGTACCCGGTTCTGACCACTACACGGATATGACGAGTATCACGCTCGAGTTTGATGTGGAATTTCTTGATGCTSAGGGTAATAAGCTTGCAAACACGGCTTTAACGGCTCCTGTCAACAACATTGGTCATTCTCTGATCCGTCAAATGAAAGTCACTTTGAATGGAAACAATGTACAAGAAAGTAGTGAGGATAACTATTTCATGATAGCTTATCTGGTTCGCCTTCTTGAATTTGGTGTCCAAGAAAAGCAAGACAACCTCACCATTGAAGGATGGTATGAGGATACTCCAGGACGCCTAGATGTTCTAGACCCAACCCCTACCATTCATGCAGATTATCAACTGGGTGGCGACAATGCTGCGGTAGACGATGCAGCCAATCCCACTGCTGTAGAACTGAATACTTGGATGACAGCTGTCTTTGCTGGAGAAAANATCTTATAAAACTTATTAATAATGCATAAGCTATTGCTCCAATAAGGGCTGACCATTTAATCAGGTGATTGACCTTGTAAATCTGATACAACCACTAGTGGTTGTATCAGATTTACAACACGGTCGTCACCATTGAGACAACCCAACACTAGCAAAGGTCTCAGTTTTAGTGTCGCATCATAGACCTTCACTAGGTTTTGAAGCAATCAAAGACGGATAACAGAACTCGCTTATGCAACAGATGGCTTGCTTTCCATGTGGGATGGATAATTATTCAAAATGTTCTGTGTTGCAGTAAATTGTGCATGCTTAATAGGGACTAAACTCAGCAGTTACCTTATTTGTCATTTTTCGTCATTTATCTCACTGTAATTCATGTTAATTTGTGTTGGAGTTTTATAAGTCGTTTACAACATTCGCGTCCGTGTTGTATGGGAATTACAATCTCTCGCCTGCGGCTCGAGATTGTAATTCCCATACAACATGGCCGCTCATGTTGTAAACTATACTAATGCACCGATATAGTGTAACTAACAGAGGTGTTTAAAATACAGTTGTACAGTATACGTCATTACCTCCATATGCATCTGGCATTCTTTCAATTGTGTATCTATAAACAATGATAAAAATCATTAGAATCCACCAATTCACAATATCATAAGACAGATGGACATTGCTTGCAGTACTAGCTCAGTATTAGGAATGAGAGAAGAAGTATGAAGCATGGAAAGAAAAAACTTGTTGCAAGTAAATAAAAATCTACTATTCTTGGATTGAAACCACATGAACTGGAATCCCCTGAGAAATAAAGAACAAAGCTATTGCCATCATGTTGGATGAATGAACAAGAGAAACTAATGAGGAATGCTTTTTTATCTTAGTCCAACATGGAAGAGATGACCTAACTTGCAAGCAATTATGAGCCTGAATAGGTTAAATGGGTTACCTGTGTTGGGATATATACATGATGGGTACACCAGGAACTTTGCGTATTCTTCTTTTTAAATCTCTATCACATGTTGCAACAATATAACATTTATGCTGAAAAAACAACAACATATAAACCATTCTTATTTGCTGATTTCAAATGAACAACTGTGTTCACATCTTGCTTGCATAATACTCCACATTCGAATTCATAGTGAAAAACCGGTGCTTTATTTGACACCATATTCTCTTTTGCAAAGAGCTAACCAAAAACAAAGGAGAGCACGAGAAAATGTCATGGTTATTACAATAGCCTTAAAAATTTGCACTTTCCCCAAGTTGAGACTAGCCCTGTATTCATAAGATATGAGCCTTTGGAAATACAGGGTTAGCCTCAACTCGGGAAAATTGTACTAATAACATTTTCTCATTCTTTCTTTTGTGTTTGGTAAGTTCTTTGCGTAAGAGAATCTGCTGTCAAATAAAAACTTATTTGCACATAGTACAAATGATATTTTGCATAAACATCTACCAGAGAGCTCTGCTTACGTTACTTAGTACAATACAGAACTTGGTGGCAACTAGATTGTACCTGACTAATTCTATTAACAAGACAATCATCTGCATATGTCCCTTTGTGCATACAGGGTAATCGTTCAAATCGTGGATCTTTAGCAATTCTAATGACAAAATAAAAAGAAAATGTTGAAGTGAAGGTATCAAAGCAGAATCTGTTACACAAAACCATGATTCTCCTAACCTTAAGGCTACTCTGTACTGTGATCCAAGTTTTTCTAATTCTGCCATTACACAATCAGTTATACAAGGAATACCTAAAAATATTAAAAATAGATAAAGGTGATCAATGTACACAGGAAGACCAACATACACATCGCAACCCAAATAACTAACATTAGTTCTAAAGAATCCTATTTTGGTATCAGGTACATGCACATGTATCACTATTAGAATTTTTAGGAATAGTCTTGAAAGGTAGCCGTGCCTTTGCATCAAAGCGAGACGACCGTTGAGCATGCAATGATAGAAACCTWCTTTCACACCTACAGACAATTATTCACAGGTTTCTATCATTGCACGCTCAACGGTTGTCTCGCTTCGATGTAAAGGCACGGCTACCTTTCAAGATGGCTGAGGTAACCATGAAGGAGATTATTGTATTATATTATTTATTCTTTCCAGAGTGTTTAATCATCACTATTGTTTATGGTCGCATAACCAGAAAAAAAGAGAGATATTATCTATTTGCACTTAGCAAGAGGTTTTCCATCTTTAATATTTTGGGTGACAAACAAAGCACAAAAGAATTGAAGATGACTTTCTGTGAAAAATACATAGTGATGAGTTTTTCATTTCCTGGCATTTCATTTTCAGATCTTTTGTGTGTGCACGCACCATTAAACAAGATTATAAAGAGTTAGATATTAGCTTTTCCAAGTTTATATAAACCTACATTTTGCATATAAGCAATCCATCATTGATTTGACTATATCAAGTTTGTTTTTGATTGAGAAGTTGATAAAGTTTGTATCCACAAGAACATAATATGGAGGACCAAGTTGTGTGTTGTACTGAAAGAACATGGCGGATGAAACTTGTTCTCTAAAAAGAAAGATGAAATTAGATATCAATAGACCTAATCGCTTAAGGAGTTGCTATAAACGTTTCCACCCAATTGAAACCACCTGGGAGTACATGTAAGTTTCATTGTTTGTTTGTATTTCCATTTCACAGTTGAATTTTTAGAAACAAAAGTTCTTTTTCCCACAGGATTTGAATAGATGAGGTGACGGTTTTGTCCGCCATTTTGGACSGGTAGGCATAGTGTCGCAAAATAACAAGGAATGACCGGGAAATCGATGTCAAATAATTCTCGCTGAATTCAAATTCAGAAAGAATTATCATTTGCAAACGTTAGATACTGCAAAAAGGAGTTAACTGGCCAAATTTGAAAGGCGTACTTGATCTAGAGAGCGAGTAAACTCATTTTTAGTTCTCCATACATTTCTTTGTAATTTCAATACATTTCGTTATCATTTCCGGGGTCATCAGTGCGTGACGCGCGTGAAAAATACAAAGAAATGTATGGAGAACTAAAAATGAGTTTACTCGCTCTCTAGATCAAGTACGCCTTTCAAATTTGGCCAGTTAACTCCTTTTTGCAGTATCTAACGTTTGCAAATGATAATTCTTTCTGAATTTGAATTCAGCGAGAATTATCTGACATCGATTTCCCGGTCATTCCTTGTTATTTTGCGACACTATGCCTACCCGTCCAAAATGGCGGACAAAACCGTCACCTCATCTATTGGGTGGTAATGTACAGTACATGGAAATGTGTTAGCCGAGTATGAGGTTTTCTTTTTTCAATGAGGCATACATACTTAATAAACCATATCACCCTGTTTGTAACTTACACATGTTTCACTTCTGGTGTATCATCTTTTTTCTTCTTTTTAGTAGCAGCCGCTTCATTGTTCTTCTTGCTGTAATGAATACAATTTTGTAATCACCATGTTAAAGCTTTTAAGAACATACAGCTACATGTAACTTATATACATGTATACAGTACAATGTGTAGCTATGAATGGCTTATACATGTACCTTATATTTATAATAATAAAGATGTAAGATTTCACTGGTAGCTACTCGTACAAAGAGAATAGAGCCAAAGATTGTAAGATGCAAAAACACTACAACTCTTTCTTACATTCGTTGGTCTTTGGGAGATATCATTCGCTTCACAGCGGCAAACTTTCGTGTTTTCTTTGCTTTTCCCTACAGTGAAGACATTAAACATGTCAGTTAAAGAAGACATAATTCAATAAAAAAGAAAATTCAAGTCGAAAAGATACGATTTGTTTACCATTTTCACTACCAGAAAGAATCCACACGTGAACGAATGTCCTAATGGACGAGTAATACTAGGTTCTAATATAGAAACCGCTGAGAAAATTATTGCTGACTCAGCAATGGATGGAACGCCTGGTTGTTTCGCGCTATTATTGCACCAACAGCGGAAATGCAGAGTTGTGATAAAACTATAATAAGGCAGTTACCTTCTTTTAAAGTTCATAGAGGACAACTCTCGTACTTAAAGATGGCCTACTCAGCTCCTCAAGAGATCTTTGACCCCGAAGCTTGGCTGGCTGAATTCAATAAGCCTCGTCTCCATCGCGATCAGCGCATCAAAATAATCGAACAAACTTTAAAAGTTTGCTCTGAATTCAAGTACACATTACCTAATGGAGAACAGGTTGTATTTGGAGACTTTGAAAGCGTTTCGAGAGATGCCCAGAAGACAAGGCTTTATATTGATGCAGTGGAACACCTCAAAAGATTATCTAATGGTACAAATTTTACAACAACTGTCGAGGTTGTTAACTGTGACTGTCTAGAGGAGGCTTTAAGGCTTAAAACAGAAGGATTTAACCCTGCAGTGCTCAATATGGCTTCTCCAAGAAGACCAGGTAAGCCACTTGCAAGAGAGAAATGTTGATATTATGTCATAAACTGTATTTGATGTACATGTACAAAGGCTGAAAATTAAGATTTTTTTTTACCCAGGCCTAACTATTACAGACTAAAGTGATTTATTTGAATATCAAGTGTATTTCCAACATGAATAATTAATAGATAAAATATAATTCTTCATTCATTAGGTGGAGGATATTTGTCAGGAGCAGGAGCTCAAGAAGAAAATCTCTTCAGGCGGACAAACTATGTTCAACATCTGGCAGATCCAGACAAACGTTTTGATCCCACAAGAAAATGGAACTACAGATTACCTGAATTTAGCTGTGTTTATTCGACAAATGTACAGGTTTTTCGTGCTTCTGAGGCTAAAGGCTATGCATTTCTTCCTGAACCAGTTGGAATGTCTTTCTTGGCAATTGCAGCATACCCTAGCCCTAAATGTCAAGGACCCAAAGGCAGTGAAAGGCTTGTTTCTGAAGTTGTAGAAAAAGTAAAAAAGAAAATAAGACTTATGTTTGCAGTTGGACTTGACCAGGGCCATGACAGCTTAGTGTTGTCTGCTTGGGGATGTGGAGCCTTTAGAAATCCACCTCGTCACATTGCAAGCATATTTAAAGAGGTTTTGAAGGAACCTCAATTTAGAAACCAATACAAACATATTTCCTTTGCAATAATCAATGATCACAATGCTAGGGGTGAAGGTAACTATAAGCCTTTTTTCGATACTTTTAATAACACATAAAATTGGTGATGGAACTACAGTGCATGTATATGAAGCTCATTCAGCAGTTTTTTGCATGAGGATTAAACAAAAGAATTACATATAATGATAATGATACTTTTAATACATAAAATCAGTGATGAAACTATTATTTAAGCTGATTCAGCAGTTTGTTTGTCTGAGGATAAAACAAAAGAATTACATAAAATGACAGTGATGCTTTTAAAACATAAAATATCTGATAGAACTATTATTCAAGCAGATTGATTCAGCAGTGTGTTTGCATGAGGATTAAACAAAAGAATTACATTAACATAGCAATAACTTTGCAAAATGTCAATCACAATAATAAATAAGGCATTGCCTGTGTATGAAGGTCTGCCAGCTCTATTTGCTATTTTTTGTCCAAGAAATGATGGATGCCAGTAAAAGATACCGTAGGTAGGGTGTTAGGAGAGGAAGAGAAAAAGGAAAGAGCTTGTGCTATCTCCTCTTAATGTACTCTTGATAGTCTTTATTCCATCAATCCTCAATAATTCCAAATGCCACAGGAAGCCCAAAGAAATAGTATAAATAGCTATAAATGTCAGCGTTTGCTAAAAGGCACTGTGGATAACTGTGGATGGCAAAAGTGCGGGCTCTTGGTATGAAGGCTCAGCTTCGTTACCAGGGCTTCTCTGCTCGCTTTTTTAAAAGGCCCTGAGAACGATGTAGGAGATTTGCCGCTCTTCAAGCAAATTTGATCCTTTCAAGCATGAATGACAGGCAGCCAGTTGAAATGGAATGAAATGCTAAATTAATTAAGCCATGACACTTTAATATTTTACCATAGACTGAGTGCAATCGCTAATTTGAACTGGCTGCAGGCAATACAAACGAAAAACAGGACGAACAAATGAATAGGCGATTGTAATTAAATTAAGCACACTATAAGATGGAATAAATATATATACTAGTCGTTTTTGTATATTTGTTGAATACACTTTTTATTATTATTACTTTTACCGTTCTCTATTAGATTCCAAAAATGAATTGTATCGACTTTAACTCTTTTTAACTTTTGTATATATATATCTCAACCAATATAATAGAATGATCGCACTTAATCCGTTAAACTCTTTTGTAATATTTTGTGCAGGGCGCAGGTTTATTTAACAAATAGTATTATATATCGTTTTCATAAGAAATAATTGTCATCTCAACAGTTTTCCGCGTCATGCAAATGCAGTACGAATTTGTACGATTTTTGTTGTTGTTGTTGTTGTTGTTGTTGTTTTTGTTTTGTAACGGTTTCATGAATAAAATGCGCTCACTCTAAGCGGAAAATAATGATTAATGATCTGAAAGCAAATACAAGTATTTTTAATATTTGCCCCCGTATTTCCTGCGTATCAAAACACAATTGACATGGATAATCATTCTTTTAAAATTAAATTTTTTTTAGAGAACAAACTTGTTGATTCTGGATGCAGTTCCTTTTTTAAGTAAACAGGAAAATGAATAGATGTGAAAGAAAACATTTTCCAGTTTTCCCGCGCCCACAAAATTGCAGCGCGAGCGCGCGAGATTATCAAAGCTATTTGTCGTTATGGTAACGTCTGTGATCCAGCAAACACCTGTTTACGAGTGAATGTAATTTGAAGTGAACAATCAGCAAAGTTTACTCTACAAAAACACTATAAATGACATCCACAAACGAAATAATAGCTGAGAACCTTGAAACTATAGACCAAGCAGAAGGGGAAGACATAGTAAACACAGAGGTAATGCCGAATTCAATGATATTTTTGTTTGAGATCTCAATTTTTAGTATGTATTTTGAAGAGGAAGTACAACTAATGAGCCCAAAAAGATTATAAAAGATTAAGTTTTTAACCGTTTTAACTTCGAATTTTCGTTTTTTTATTCAGGAAAATAACAATGAAGATTCTTCTGCACAAGAGGAAAATGGCTATGCAGTTGAAAACGGAGAAAATACCAAAGTCCCGGTAAACAGCGATGATGAATATGACACCGACTTGGAAGCAGAAGGTTGGTGATTTTGGTCAATTAGCAATCACTTTTCTTACACAGTATTAAAAACAACATAATCTAAGGATTATTTGCATAAGCTTCATTTGTTTTCTCATGTAGTTTTATAAGTTTAAATTGAACTAATTTGTAAAAAGCTTGAACAGCTCAAGGCTTTCAAATTTTGGAAGAAAAGACGCCGGATGTAGACACGCCAACACGCGTGCCTTTTTTTTTCATATCTTTGCCTCGAAAGCTTAAATTTCAGTCCATTTAGTTTACATTTTTGTCCATCGAATTAATAACTTTCTTTATCATAATTTTGATTTCCTAGGTAACATTGCAGCGTATAACTACGATGCTATGAAAGTTAAAAACACCTATGACTTAACTTATCTTGTTCATAAAAATTCATAAAAAGTTCAGATTTTAAATATAAGTTAAATTTTAACGCGATCAGGAAAAATGTTAGAGAATCGCCCTTTTGCAGATTTGAAAGTTGCCGGCGAGTGAATTAAAAAAAAAAATAAAAATTACCCTTGATATTAGTTTCATACAACAGAAATGAGAATAGTAATTGAAATTGAATGGGAGATTCATTATTTCGCAGTCAATCGAGTTTTTTTTATCGCCCTTCGGACTTCGGATTGGTTGAGTGATGTGACTGTTAATTAATTGGGGCTCGTTTATCTGTCTGATAAATTGTGTCAGATTTTATTTTGAAATATCGAATGTAATTCGAACCAGTCAATGACAGAACTTGATGAAACATAATTTGCACTTCAATTCTTCTTTTTTTTCTTCTTCTTCTTCTAATTTGTTGTAGTCACGTGATTTTCTACTATAAAAGACAAATGGTTGAAATATATGATAAAAATAATTGCGAAATCAGTAATATAGATAGTGCAAAATTTATTTATTTCGCCTTAGTTATTTATGCATTTTTTTAAATTTTTGTTTCAATTTCTATCACCGTCAACCGTCACGTCTTTTGTGATATCACAATGAAAAGAGAATTTTGTATTCATGTACATCTCATACATCGTTCTTTTTTCGCAGTGCCGCACGAAGACTACGACCCGACTGGTAAAAATGTTTATCTGTCTTGCTGCAAGTCACTAGACGTCACTCCTGTCTCCTATTTCATACGACATATCAGGGATCCCAAAGTAAAACTACGGCACCGAGGATTGGGGCCAAAAGGAACCAAAGCTATGGCAATAGCCTTAGTGGTAAGTGAAACGAGGTGGGGTAGACGGAAGAAAATATAATGGTCTTCCTGCGTTAAGACTGGATTTAATTGGAACGGTAATCTACGCTTACCATAATGAGAAACTCTGATCGAGAAGCTTAATGAAGCTATTCAATTAACGTTTGCTTCAGATTCTCTCTTTGCAATTAATACAAGCTTGCATTTCTGCTTCAGCAAAAATGTTTAAAAATTTGTATGAAGAAAGTGGAATTATGACAATGTGCAAAAAAAATTCTTTCGCGCAAAAATTGCAATGCCCCTTTCCCAAGATTTTGATTCTGCAGAACCAAAGCTAGGCTTTGGCTTGGTTAGAACACTTTATCGTGCTCATAATAGATGTAGAAAATAGCTGTAGTACAAGTAATAACGTTACACTTATAATCATATTTTGGCTCCAAAGTGTTTACTACAAACTCACATGTTTTTAGTTAAATCCCATTTCTGTCGAATGCTATTTAGGCACTGCATCCAAAGTTTTCATAATGATTTACCTTGTGGTTATTTTGTGAAAAGTTCTCTTTACTCCTTCGACGATAATTCCTGAATTTAGGCATGACAAAGTCGAATACAACTTTTCGCTTTGATTTTTTGCTTGTTCAACAGTTTCTTCATCCATTTTTAACACGAGAAAATATTGTGACCTAGCCAAAGCCTCGCTTTCGTTCTGCAAAATCAACATCTTGGGAAAGGCCCATTAGGAGCGTGGCATGCAAGATAAATGTTAAATTTTATGCTTCTTCCCGCAAGAATTCGGTTTATCTTCGACGCACTATAGAGAAAATTTTTTTATTTATTAACTCTGTCCATGATAATGCTAAACATCTGAGATCGCAGACCAATGCAAGCAGGATTTAGACTTTCTAATAAAATCACACTGTTTAAACTAAAGGATTGTAAAGTATCTATACGATAACTAACTTTCCTCCCTTATGTAGTCGAATCAATAACAATTTTTTCTTTCTAAAATCTGTCTTTCTTCTTGTATTTTAAGCTGAACACATCCATCACAAGCCTTGATCTCCATGACAACGCCCTTGAACCTGATGGAGGGACTTACATTGCAGACATGCTAAAGGAAAATTGCTTTGTACAAGAATTGGTATTAAGCTGTCATATGCATTAGCGATTATTTCTTCCGAATATTCCGTTCTTGCATAGTTACATGTGGTTCTTTGCCGTCTTATATTTATTTTTTAAGTTATCATCGATCGTTAACTTGTTAACTCATTTCAGGATATTTCATCAAATAACATTGGAAATAAAGGCTGTCAAGCTATATGTGAAATGCTTCAAGTCAACACGAACCTACAAAAATTAGATCTTTCCGATAACAAACTAACAGACAAAGAAAGTCAATACATCGCCGATGCAATGAGGGTAAGACTGATATAGTCCAGAACTGGACCCTCTTTTCTCAATTACTATAGAAATATTATATGTAAAAGTTAAAAATCCAAAGCGCGCGCTAAAGAAAATTGTGACCGTTGAGAACGCTGATTCAAAATAATAGTTTTCAACTCCGCGCGCGCAAGAATAAAAGAGGGTCCAGTTCTGGACTAAGACTGATATTGCTGCGGAACAGAGGACTCGAGTAAGCGCTCCTGGAGCGCTACTTCAAAAATACTCCTACTTTATGTTGATAACTGAGTTAATTCAACGAATTCCTTCTTCCATGTAGGGAAATGAAAAACTGCTTTGGCTGGATTTAAGCAATAATCGTTTTTCTGAAAATTCGGGAGAAAACCTTGGTCTTGGTATAGGTAAAAGTCCATATATCATTGTGTTTGGAATAACTAGGATTAAGTTCTAAATGCAATGTTTCTTTTAATAGTTTCCAATGATTCCCTCGAGTACCTCAATCTAAGCTGGAATCATATTCGAAAAAAGGGAGCTATTCAAATATCACATGGAATAAGGGTGGGTATGATTTACAGGACCATCCTCAACCACAATGCAATGCAGTTGTGTTTTAGATTTGAAAGCATGGCAAATAAGGTGTATTCAAATATATTTATCCATTACCAATGTGTTCCTCCCATCCATAGAAAAAGGCATAAAAAAGTTCGTAAGGCTGCCGATTGATCATAGCCCTTTAAGCCGAAGCATTGCGCAAAACAAGATTTAATGTGCGATTTTTTCTAAATTGATGAGCCTGATAACTAAGTGTTCACGTAGGGTACCTTGCTTTACAAAATAAATATTCGGCAAATGGACCTTATTTACAACGGATAGAGTACTCCTAGATATTAGTGTCAAACACTTTTGTTCTCTGGATGATTTAAGAGAAAAACGAGATTGGCTCCACTATGTAGGAGCTTCCTATCCAATAGTCTCCTTCACGGCTACCTGCGCCATGTTGAAAGGTAGCCGTGCCTTTGCATTGAAGCGAGACAACCGTTGAGCGTGTAATGATAGAAACCTGTAAATAATTGTTTGTAGGTGTGAAAGAAGGTTTCTATCATTGCACGCTCAACGGTCGTCTCGCTTCGATGCAAAGGCACGGCTACCTTTCAAGATGGCGCAGGTAACCGTGAAGGAGACTATTAAGCAGGACCTAAGAGAAGAGCATGTGTGACGTTCCCAAACCAACAATCTTATCCGGTGAAACTTATTTATTTGCCAATAATTTCAGTCTAACTGCACACTCAAGACCATCAACCTGTCATATAATGGATTTACAGATGATGGCGCTCTCGCATTAGGAGAGGCAATAAAATTCAACAATACGTTAATAGAACTGGATATAAGGTACCAGAGCCGTTCCCAAGAACCCAAATACAAAAGATCAGAAAAGCTAAAGGAACAAAATTAAGCGTGCATCGGCATAAGCATAGCATTAAACATAAGCCTAAGCATAAGGTAATCAAATTCAAAAAAATAAACAAAGAAAAAAACATTCCATTTGCTTTCTTCATCCCTTTTAAACCCTACGTTGTTGTTGTTGGTGGTGGTGTTGGTTTTTTCTTTTCTTTTTTTTTTTTTTTTTGTTTTTGTTTTTGTTTTTGTTTTTGTTTTTTGTTAAAGTGTTTATGGCGCAGGATGAACTGAGCCTACGAGAAATGTCCATTAAAGAATTTGAAAGTTGAAAGTAAATTTAAGGTAACTACTGGAATTAACGACATTAATGTTTGTCTTCCAGCAATAACCGAATAACAAACCTTGGAGCCATGTGTTTGTCCAAAGGAATAGAAAGCAACAACACACTAGAAGTATTAAAGGTTTGATGGCTACTTTTTCAAATTTGTTTGTTTGCTTGCATATCTTTGTTATGTTTTGTTGTTGTTGTTGCATGTTGTTGTTATTGTGTTGTTGTTATTAACTTCTGATACTATTTTGAACCAATATCAATTTTCGTGACTCAATGTAAAGAACCTTTTTTTTTTCAGATTGGGTATAACCCGATCCAAAGCGATGGACTAGCATCAATTGTCAACGCATCACTATCTTACTGTGATAGTGCACTAGCAACCTTGTATTGTCAAGTAAGTTTGATATGCGTAGATGCATGTGCAAATCAGTATTGTAGGAGAGCTTTTTTCTAGTCATATCTGCCAATAACCTGACTATGTGTCTCTTTATTTGCAAGGTCAACATTATCCAATGTAACCTATGTGTCTTTCTTTATTCGCAGGATATTTACCTCGATAAAAATTTTCATGACCTCCTTCATGAAGTTAACAAGATGAAACCCGAATTCAAAGTTGTACCGTCCCCGAGAGCAGGAGGAAAGGATCCCATGAAAGCTCTACAGAGATATATAGAAGAAGACCGTGATAGATGGCTGGAATTATTCACAGATTGCAGTGATGATGTATCCAACATGGTTACACGTAAAAACTTTATCAATGTACTTAAGGTAGGTCTCAGCTGCATAAGAAATTCATGAACACACCCACATGTACGTACTATAAATATACTATACGAGCAACAAAGAAATACGAAAAAAATACAGCTAAACTGAATGGACCCGGTAATAACAAACGATTTTGCTATGCAAAAACAATTTTCATTATTTATTCTTTTTTTTTTCACGCACAAAGTTTTGCTTTCATTTCCTACTGTTTTTAACCGAAGTGCAAAATATTTGATATCGATTATATTTGAATATTCATATTTTGCATTTCGAGCTAAATTATAATAAGAATTCAATATTTGTTCAAACTCCTTTTGACTTCCTGACTTTGCTTGGGGAAGATTAAAATACCTCGCTGTCGCAATACTGCGCATGTCGCTAATTCTCTCTAATTCCCGATGCTAAAGAACCGACGAATAGCTAACTGTCTTTTCTTGAACTGTTATGGTAGAAACAGACCACAAATTGGATTTGGAAAACTTTATTATTCGTCTATATACAGCTTCATATTTCTTATCATTTTTGAATATCAGCATTGTCTCTATATACAAACACAAAGTCAGGGTTTCACGCCTCGACACTCACGAGTCCAGAGGTTTCATATCCACAAATGTTTTGATTCGAATACGGTACGTTTCCACACGTGCCAACCTTATATGATTTTTTTTTATCCGGAATAAAACCATAAGTATCTGAACAACTCGTGTGGTCGTGGCCTTAACATAACTCCTTTCCTAGAATTACAAATTAAAATGCTGCGAGCACGCACGGAACAATTCAATAAAAGCACTTCAATAAAAGCTCTTCTTATAAAAACATAGCACTCATGACAACAATCGAAAAGAATTAAAAAGTGTCTGTCTTATTTCTAAATCAACAAAATTGCCCCCTTTGTTGTTTTATGCAAGCCGCTGTTCAATTGTTTGTTCTTGAGCTTGATCTTCATTTTTGCAACGAAATATTTTTTTGAGTAATTCTCTCATCCTCCGGTTTTGAAAGCTGAAAAGGTAAGGGTCAAGTGCAGAATTAACTACGGCTAGAAGTATTACTATTTGACCCGATAATTTTTCTGCCCCTTGCTGGATCTTTTGAAAACCAAATAGAATATACCAGGTAGAAAGTGGAATATTGCAAAAGATGTACGTGGCGACGACGGCCAATACACAAAGTGTCACTCTCTTCTTCATCTTTCTCTCCTGTATCTCTCTAACTGCTGTTGGTTGGATTACAGTGTGCTTACACCACAATGATACGTAGATCTTTGCTGATAATATTGAAATAAGTAACAATGTAACCATTGAAAATATTGCGGCAATAACAGAAAGTGTTTTTGATAGGTTTGCATCCACTGAAAAACAAGTCTTCCCGGTGTTTCTAGGTATTATCGTTACAACAGCTAAAAACCAAGATAGCATTATAATGAACTTGACGTTTCTTGTGGAGAACAGTTTCTTGAAGCTATGAGGATGGCAAACTGCAAAATATCTCTCGGAAGATAGAATCAACATAGTGATGGTAGAAGCCACATACGCTAGCCAATTAAAGTTGCCAGACGTGAACAGTCGACAAAAAATATCATTTTCAATAACGAAAGGCTTAGGGTTGGACACTAACCTTATGGAAAGAAGAGAAAAGAGTTGAATAGCCTGAAAAACTCCCAACATAAGATCTGCAACCGCTAGATTCAACAGCAAATGGTCTGTGGATGTCTTTGGTTTCTTACAGATGATGTAGATAACAAGAGAGTTGCCTATTACATTGAGGACTATGGCAGTGAAGAAAAAGACGTATAGAATGTATTCCAGTTCCATTTTTGCAAAATCCAAAAAAAAGTACAGGTAATATTTACAAAAACTCCAAGTAGAAATTTCCTTTGAACTTTTTGAGCCTTTGCCTGACTTGTAGTAAACGTTGGTTGAGTATTCACTCCGGCGTTTCCTTGAATTTGTTGTGGATTTTAAATGTTTTAACGCGAATTGAATGATGCTTTTATAAATAATAGCACACCAGCTGCAGTCATACTTTACACTTGTAACTGTTTTACTATGAAATTCAATTAGTAAAAACCTGACTCGACCGGACAGTTCTTCTTTGCTCTCAAGCTGCGCGACAAAATAATAAGGCGAACACCATATGGCTAATATGCAGTGCAATTTCCACTTAAAATGTAAAATTGAATTCCTAGAAAAGATTTCCTTATGAAAAATTCTACGTATATAATGAAATTATATTTACACAATAACAACGCCTGAATTAAGGCTTAGAAAAAAAARGAAGAAGAGCAATTAGAAAACAGCAATCTGTTTTCATATCTAGATCTCCATAAGTTTCAATAGAGAAAAAACGAAGAAGAGCAATTAGAAAACAGCAATCTGTTTTCATATCTAGATCTCCATAAGTTTCAATAGCAGCAAATTAGCTAAAAAAGACAATTTACAGGATTCTAGTGAAAAATTAGCAGAGATTTTACATGTTCATCAAAGCTCTACATAAAAGGAAACTCCATACTATTAATTCACTGTTTACAGTTTCTTTCACTGCGTATTTTTACCCACTTTTTGTCTTGCATGGATTAACTCCATATATTTTAATATATTGTATATATGTTTTATTACTTAACCCAGTATCAACGATGATTTCAAATACAAACCGGGAGTCTAAACACAAAATGTATTATCTGAGATATCCATGTTCAATCCTTTCTTTAGATGTTGTTGCCTTTTGGTCATTATAAAACAAAAACAGATGAGCTAAAAGATATCGATCAAATCAAAAACTGAGCTGACTGTGTGTTCATCTCTCGCTATTGCAAAAGTAAAAGTGTTGTCTCGGTTTCAGCATTCAAAGACTTTGGACAGGTCTCTTGCTCAAGTTTATTGGTGGCTAAGAAATTTTAGTCCATGTTGCCTGACATCATTTTTGATCCCCTATGGAAGCTGTTGCTCAAGAGCATGCTGCGGTGCTTGATCTTCTTTCTTGCACAAAAAAAGTTTTTTTAGCAGTTTTGTCATCTCTTTGCTTTGGAAGCAAAAAAGGTATGGATCAAGCGCTGAGTTGACAAGAGTCAAAAGCACTGGTATTTCATAGAAGTCATAGACTAGTGAGAGGTCTACCCCTAGAGTTACACTAAAGACAATCAAAGCGTACAAGATAACTAGTGGGAGAGAGCACAAAATGTACGTGAGAGTGACTGCAAGTACGCACAATGTTACTTTCTTCTTTTTCTTTCTCTCTTCTATCTCTCTAAATGCTGTAGGTTGAATTGCAGTTTGTTTGCACCACAGTGACACGTAAATCTTTGTAGAAAGTATTACCAGAAACACCAATGTGACCATAGAAAACACCAATAAAACTACAGAATGTAGTTTTGAGTTGATTCTGCTCAATAAAAAGCACTGTTGTACACTATTTACAGGTACGATGATCAGGAGAGATAAAAACCATGACAGCAACACCATTAATTTGACGTTTCTTTTAGAAAAACATTTCTTGAAGCTATAAGGTCGGCACACCGCAAAATACCTCTCCACAGACAATATCAACATAGTGAAAATTGACTCGACAAAAGCTAGACCAGCGGTATCGTTTAAAGTTGAGGACAAAGGACACGACCAAAACAATGGAGGCAATTCAGGCAGAAGTCTCAAACAAGTCAACATCGCTCCATACATAAGATCTGCAACAGCCAGGTTCAACATCAGATGGTCTGTGGATGTTCTTTGCTTCTTGCTGATGATGAAGATCACGAGAGAGTTGCCTATTAGGCCGAATGCAAAAACGATCCAGAAAATTGCGACATGAAACACCATTTTACAAAGAAAATGAGAAAAGAAAACTTATATCTTTAAAAGCATGTACTCATTAGGTACAAGCCATCCGCCAGAAAAGTTATATAAGATGAACTTATGAGTTTTTATATGATGTTTCATAAACATTTTCTGAAGTGGCCTCTCAGCTCAGTAATTTCCAAGTGGAGTATGAGATATTGCTATATAACGACAGCTGTGAACATATAGCACGTGAAGTTGTCATCATTTCAGTAATATATTAAAAGCCATTTATTGAGAAGCAATTACCTCTTTATCTGTTTTTAAGCGGACAACTACCAAAATAAGGCGTTGAGCCGACCAATATAAAGTTAATGTGATACCAATTTTACAGTTTCAGTGGTCAACAATAAAAAGATAAAGACCAGTGACGCATGTATGTTTGGAAAGAGCTGTAAAAGCTTGCTTTTTGGCATTATTAAGATTGCAGGAATTCTTGAAAATAATTGTACTTATTTCATGATGTTTTTATTTTAGGCAATATTGTTGAAGAACAGGTGAAAATATAGAATTAAGTTAAAATGAAATCTTGAACAGCATTTTTAAGAACAAAGTATAATGCCCAGCACTTATTACCCAGCAATCAATTCATGAGCAAAATCCATTTCAAAGAGGCATGACTTTTCGTATCAAATCGTAATAGTAAAAGCAATGACACTCAAACAAATGCTTTCAAACTAGATATCAATAACATAAACCGGAAAAAATCAGGTGGAAATGTGGCTTAAGACGTAGATAAATCTTAATTGGCAAAAAGATATTACTTTTCGAAAACGAAGCAGATGTTCCTGTTTCAGAAATTCACAAGTACAATACACGACTAGCTTGTAATTTCAACTTCTATGACCACAAGCCAACACAAATTATGGTAGAGCTACATTTAAGTTCTCATTGTGTAAAATCTGGGAAACCATTCCTACTCACCTCAAACAGCTATCATATTCAAACTTTAGCAAAAAGTTAAAACAATATTTACTAAGCTACCAAATTTAGTTTCCTCCTCCTATGTATTGATGAACTAATCAACTATTAACTAAAGATTGGTTGACCAATCCACAGATGAAATTTATATTTATATTCCTGAAGAAATTTATAAAATATTACGTGTTTTTTTTTTCTTGTAAAATTTAATGTTTCTTATTGAGAACAATTTCTTGAACTACATTTATGAGGATGGCAAACTGCAAAATATCTCTCGATAGATAAACTCACCATAGTGGTGGTAGAAGCCACATACGCTATCCAATTAAAGTTTCCAGATGTGAAAAGTTGACAAAAAATATCATTTTCAAAAACAAAAGTGTTAGAGCTGGGCACAAACCTTATGGAAACCAGAGAAAAGAGTTGAATAGCCTGAAAAACTCCCAACATAAGATCTGCAACCGCTAGATTCAACAGCAAATGGCCTGTGGATGTCTTTGGTTTCTTACAGATGATGTAGATCACAAGAGAGTTGCCTATTACGTTGAGGACAGTAGCAGTGAATAAAAAACGTATGGAATGTATTCCAGTTCCATTTTCGCAAAATCAAAAAAATACAGGTTAATTCTCACTAATATTTACAAAAACTATATTTACAATTATCCTTTGAACTATTCTTGAGTCTTTTCTTGACTTGTAGTAAACGTTGGTTGAGTATTCACTCGTTTCCTTGAATTTGTTGTGGATTTTAAATGTTTTAACGCGATTTGAATGATGCTTTTATAAATAATAGTACACCAGCTGCAGTCACACTTTATCTGACTTGTAACTGTTTTACTATGAAATTCAATTAGTAGAAACCTGACTCGACCGGACAGTTCTTCTTTGCTCTCAAGCTGCGAGACAAAATAATAAGGCGAACACCATATGGCTAATATGCAGTGCAATTTCCACTTAAAATGTAAAATTGAATTCGAAAAAAAGATTTCCTTATGAAAAATTCTACGTATAATGAAATTATGTTTACACAATAACGACGTCTGAATTACGGGTTAGAGAAAAAGGAGGAAGAACAATTAGAAAACAACAATCTGTTTTCATATTCAGATCTCCATAGGTTTCCATAGCAGAAAATTAGGCAAAAAAAAGACAATTTACAGGCAAAAAAAGACAATTTACAGGATTCTAGTGATTTAAATGTTCATCAAAACTCTACATAAAAGCAAACTCCATGCTATTAATTCACTGTTTACAGTTTCTTTCATTGCGTGTTTTTACACACTTTTTGTCTTGTATGGGTTTAAATCCATATATTTTGGTATATTGTAAATATGTTTTATTACTTAACCCAGTATTAACGCAGATTTAAAATGCAACCCAGAAGTCTAAACACAAAATGTATTATCTGAGATATCTATGTTCAATGCTTTCTTTAGATGTTGTGGCCTTTTGGTCATTATAACATAAAAAAGATCACCTACAAGATATAGATCTAATCGAAAACTAAGCCCTGACTTTGTGTTCAATTCTCAACATTGCAATTTTTTTGCCTCCGTTTAAGTATTCACAGACTTTGAAAAGGTCTCTTGATCAAATTTATTGGTGGCTCACTAAGTATGATTGACCTTTGGTTCAGAACTTTAAGTCCATATTGCCTGACATCATATTTCCTTATGGAAGCTGTTGCTCAATAGCTTGCTGCGGTGCTTGATCTTCTTTCTTGCACAAAAAAAGTTTCTTTAATAGTTTTCTCATCTCTTTGCTTTGGAAGCAAAAAAGATATGGATCAAGTGCGGAGTTGACAAGAGTCAAAAGCATTGGTATTTTTTGGAGTGAGAGTTCTACCCATTGCGTTACTCTAAAAACATTCAAAGTGTAGGAGATAACTAGTGGGAGAGAGCACAAAATGTACGTGAGAGTGACTGCAAGTACGCACATTGTTACTTTCTTCTTTTTCTTTCTCTCTTCTATCTCTCTAAATACTGTCGGTTGAATTGCAGTTTGTTTGCACCACAGTGACATGTAAATCTTTGTGGAAAGTATTACCAGAAACACCAATGTGACCACAGAAAACACCAATAAAACTACAGAATGTAGTTTTAAGTTGATTCTGTTCAATAAAAAGCATTGTTGTACAGAATTTACAGGTACAATGATCAGAAGAGTTACAAACCATGAGAGCAACACCATTAATTTGACGTTTCTTTTAGAAAAATATTTCTTGAAGCTATGAGGTCGGCACACCGCAAAATACCTCTCCACGGACAATATCAACATAGTGAAAATTGACTCGACAAAAGCTATAACAGCGATATCGTGTAAAGTTGAGGACAAAGGACACGTCCAAAACAATGTAGGCAATTCAGGCAGAAGGCTAAAAAACGTCAACATCACTCCATACATAAGATCTGCAACAGCCAGGTTCAACATCAGATGGTCTGTGGATGTTCTTTGCTTCTTACTGATGATGAAGATCACGAGAGAGTTGCCTATTAGGCCGAACGCAAAAATGATCAAGGAAATTGTAACATAAAACACCATATTACTTAGTAAAGAGAAGAATGTATGCTAGCCGTCCGTCTGATAAGTAATATAAGGTGATGCTTTGAGTTTAGTCTGATGGATTATGCATTTTCTGAAATGGGCAGTCAATAATTTCCAAGTGAAATATGAAATATTGTTATATAACGACAGCTGTGAACATATAGCATGTGAAGTTGTCAAAATTTCAGTAATATTAAAGGCATTCATTGAGAAGCAATTTCCTCTTTACCTGTTTTAGGCGGAAAATGCTAAAGTTAAAGTGGAGGCCAATTTTACAGTTTCAGTGGTCAACAATAAGCGATAATGATCAGTGACGCATGTATATGGTTGGAAAGAGCTGTAACAGCTTGCTTTTTGGTATTGCTAAGATTACAGGAATTCTGGCAAATAATTTTATTTATTTCATAATGTTTTTATTTTAGCCCATGTTTGTTGAAGAAAAGTTGAAAATAGAATTAGTTTTAATTGAAATCTTGAGCAACTTATTAATAACAAAGTAACAATTCGCAGCATTCGGACGCTTAAGCATGTCTTTGCATCATCAAATTTACTTCTAGTAAAAGCAATGATACTCTAACAAATGTAATCTAATTGCTTTCAAACCGGATATCAATAGGGAACTTCAGATTTTACAACGAGTACGAGATTGAGTACGAGTACGAGTTTTGAAACCAGCTTTTYTTGTGTTGCCCATACTGGATTTCAATCCACTTCGTGTTTTTATMTCTTTMATGTTTCAATCTATTCACAGGAATGCAATTCATGATTAATAGCGCACTTAAGGCCAATTTTAAAACTCGTACTCGTACTCGATCTCGTACTCGTTGTCAAATCTGAAGTTCCCTTATAAAATAAACCGGGCAACATCAGGTGGAAATGCTGGCTTAAGACGTGAATAAATATTAATTGACAAAAAAATATTACTTTTCGAAAACAAAGCAGATGTTCCGAAGATCGTTTATAATAAAGGGACACACTGATCAGATAACAGTTCCTCATTTGAATACCAAACTATAAAATTCAAGTAAAACATGCCTTAATTAAGTAAGAGAAGCCAATGAAGTCAAAAGTCAATGCACATGGATTTATGAACACATTTGCAAATAAGTAGAATGACTTTCGAAAGTATAACCCTAGCTATTTAGAACCATGTTATTTAGTCTTTATCAATTTTACATGTATTTTTTTATATATTATTGTTATTACTCCTTTTGTAACATAGGATATGTTGTTTTTATGTTTATGTAATAAAGATCTATCAATAGTAGTAGTATTAGAACCATTTTTATTGGAGTTCATTGTCATTATTTTTGACCTAATGTATATTCCTTACTTGCTGTTCTCGACGAAGCAAAAGCTTCCGTTTTATGAACATTCTAAGTCAGCTATTCTCGTTTGAATTCATCGGAATTTTCCTGTGGCCGATCGATTGTTGTTAGTTACAGAAGTTACTGTTCAATAACTTGTTCGTGGATATGATCTTCCGCAATCTTACATAAGAAGATTTTCTTGGACAATTTTCTCATCCTTTGGTTTTGAAAGCTGAAAAGATACGGGTCTAGTGCTGAATTTACAATAGTCAAAAGTAAGAGTATTTGAACAGAAATCATCTCTCTTGGGATAATGCGAAAAACATTCAGAACATAGCTGACAAATTGTGGAACAGAGCACACTAAGTATGTGAAGGTGACAGCCAGGACACTTATTGTTACTTTTCTCTTTCTTTTTTTCTCTTGTATCTCTCGAAATGCTGTTGGTTGAATTGTAGTTTTCTGACACCACAGTGACACACAAATCTTAATGGAAAGTACTAGCATTGCTACAAAAGTGGTAATTGAAAATGCAATTGAAAGGATAGAAAGCACTTTTGTCTGGTCTTTATTAAATGAAAGGCAGCTTTGTACACTACTGTTACCGGGTATGGTGATTGTAACGGACACAACCCATGACAATATGATCATTGCTTTGACGTTTCGTATAGAGAAATATTTCCTAAAGTTATAAGGTCGGCATACTGCAAAATATCTTTCAACAGACAGCACCAGCATAGTCAGGATGGAATCGACAAAAGCCACCCAAGCGATGTTGCCAGAGGTGAACACACGACAGAACAGGTCATTTTTAAAAACTACGTGGTAATATTTGAGTGCAAGCCCTGAAGAAGAAAGGGCAAGCTGAAAAATGACAGCAAAGACGCCATATACAATATCTGCAACAGCCATGTTCAACAGCAGATGGTCTGTCGATGTTTTTTGCTTCTGATAAATGATGTAGATCACAAGGGAGTTGCCCATTGCATTGAATATAAAAACGACAAAAGAAATGGCAATAAAAGTTATTGCTAACTTCATCTTTAAATTGGGACGAGAAGCTCAATTCTTTTCCTAGGATTTCTTAAAGATTGATTTGGCAACTGATCATGGCGACGTTTTGAACTAAATTCATCAAAAGGGGTCGGCTATTTAAAGTATATTTCTAGTGGTCGCCAATGCCCTAGACTAGAAAAAGTTTATAACAGCTGTTATTTTCATATACCTCCCATGTAGAGATTAAAGTTTCACACAAATAAAACTCATTCCAAAAGAAGCTTGACTTCTCATTATGTATCAAAATGATGAGCCGACCATCATCAACTTTTTTTTAATTATATCAAACTGAAATTTTCCATCTACAACCAAAATCAAATTTTAACATTATGAATTATATTCAGATGATCCAACTATAGCATTTTTACATTGTATAAAACATGAATGGAATTATTTACCTTCTTTGAAACGATTCGTTTCAATGTTGGGGAATGTTTAGTCCATGCAATACATCGAATACCGAGAAATTAGACTACGAGGTCGAGTGGACTATGAGGCCTTACTCCACCGAATGGACTATCGACTCGTTCACGAGTTCACGAGACCGCGAATGATCTAATTGTTTTAGTATCCACTACTATGAAACTATAGGGCAAGTTTGAAAAAAGGCCATAGGGAACAATTTTTTCTCGACGACATTTTCCAATTACTTTCGTTTATTTCGATGCTACCAGGATACATCATGAATAGATTATAGCCCAGTAGCCAATCTGAATCCTGGATTTGTCATAGCCTATAGTTTGGTGGATACTAATTATATATAAAATATTTGTGCTGGATATTCTATGTTTCTACCGGCAATAGTATATTGTTTGAAAAGCTACTGATCTGTAGCGCACTATGAGAATATTTCAGTGATATGACTTGATGTCAAAATATACTGGGAAGCATCATGACAACAATCCATCAGAAAGATCTGGGATCTGGGATCGCGACAATTATACTTCCATACACAGATTATTGCGGTTTTCTTTTATTTCTCAACTTCAACCTATCAATTACGCAAGAAACTGAATCATCTGAGCTTACTCATGCAAGATCCGCATTATACTACAACTACTCAAATCATTTAATCCTGTACAAATGATAAATATAATAAACCTTACCATATTCTTCGGTTGCAATTTTGAGGTTCATATAACATTCAAGCAGTGTGTGTTTTAATAAACGGTAAGATTAGAATAATAATATCGATATATTTAGTGAACATTGATATTTGAATTGATAATTTTCTACCAAACCTATAAGCCTTATCGAAATTGCAAACGTTTTGCTGTTATTGTTGTTTGAGACGTTTTGGTTTTCAACGCTTTTCAGTAGTATTATATGTACCAGTTAACCGGTCAATAATCGCAGTCTGTGGATAAATCCATTTCCGTTCAACAATTTTTTTTGGAATGCGATGTTTGCAGAAAATCCATTCATTTGCAATCCATTCCTTTTTACTAGTACCAATGCAATGATATATGTTGTCCTCATATCATTGAGAACTCTGCAATATAGTACCTTAGAGTAAGCATTAATCCATATATCTTACTACGTTTGTTTGTTTGTTTGTTTGTTTTTTCTATCTATGTTACCTGGTGCATTCCATACCAAGTCAATTAAAACAGTATTCACAATATTGTAGTTTTAAGTTCAGAGGAATGGTGCAAAGTCATCTGACTTAATAACGTTTGAGGTGTAACTTCTTAAGGGACCTGTTGTTCGGGAGCTGGTACTTGGGGTTGACTGTTCGACTTGCACATGAAGATTTTCTTGGAAAGCATTCTCATTCTTTTGTTTTGGAAACTGAACAGATAGGGATCAAGTGCGGAATTTATAAAAGTCAAAAGCAGTGTGATTTGCACCATAATCACCTCTTCTTCGGTTCCCGGCATTCGAAAAACACGAAGGACATTCGAGATGAATTGGGGAAGAGAGCAAACAATGTACGTGACAGTGACAGCAAGTACGCACAATGTTACTTTCTTTTTCTTTTTCTTTTCTTTTATCTCCTTTATTTCTGAAGGTTGAATTGTACTGTGCTTGCACCAGAGTGACACATAGATTTTAACAGATAGTACTATCAGAACTACCAATGTAGCTATTGAAAGTACAACTGAAATGACAGACACCACTTTGGCAGTGTCTCCTCTTGGTGAGCTGCAGCTTTGTCCACTGTTTCTTGGTGCGATGATTGCAACCGATAAAACCCAAGACACTACCACTATTAACTTGACGTTTCTTGTGGAGAAACATTCTTTAAAGCTATAAGGTCGGCAAACAGCAAAATATCTTTCAACAGACAGTACCAACATAGTAAGGATTGAATCGACAAAAGCCACCCAGGCAATGTTACCAGAAGTGAACACATGACAAAACACTTCGCTTTCAACAACGATGTGATAGTATTTGGGAGCGAACCATGAAGAAGAAAGAGCAAGCAAAAAAATGACAACAAAAACGCCATATACAAGATCTGCAAAAGCCATGTTCAACAGCAGATAGTCTGTGGATGTTTTTCGCTTCTGACAAATTATGTAAATAACTATGGAGTTTCCCATTACATTGAAGACAAACGCGATACAGTACACGATGACAAAGATTATCTCTAACATCATCTTTCAAAAGATGATAAATTGTTCTGATTCTTAACTTAGATTTCCAGAAAGAAAAATGTTGTAAGCTGACGTATTGTGCTTAGTATTTGCAAACGCTTTAGAAGTGACAATTTAACAAAAGCTTTAAGTATACCTCACAAGTAGCTATTTAACTTTCCGTTAAATGAAACTCATTCAATGAAAAGCAGGACTCTCATCATTACCAAACGCTGCTGACAATCTATGTATTTCCTTTTGTAACATATTCCTATTAATAATCTTAGGAACCAATTACTTCTTGATTAGCTTTTAGACGATACATCAATAAGGTTAACCTATATTGAAACTTCTCAATTAAAGGTGAAATTGAATTTGAGTAAAAAAATTTTTCCGAAATATACACAGATGGTCTGATGATCTTTCATGCTCATCCCTAAGTAATAAAACAGAGTCACAGAGAAGGAGCACACGCATGCGCGATGGATATGGCATGGAGCTCTTCGATAATGTTGAAAATTATTCACTATTTAAGGGATTAATCAATATTGTCTCTACTCGAAAGTGGAAGAATTGCCATTTTTCAATACCTTTAGACTGACTTTTTTCAGAAATTATTAGTGTTTGCCAAACATGGTCAATTCACCGTCGACCTCCTCCAGAAATTTGATCCATATATTTTTTAGCCTGAGTATCAGGCTCTCTCGAAGGGTTTTAGGGCGGAGCGAGAAAGGAGAGAGAGCCTGACGCAATCTTCTATCAAGAGCCGTTCCGTCTCCTTGCAATACGTGACACGTGACAATAAATTTAAGCCGATTAAAAGCTGTTCCGGTTTGCTTGATTTCTCGATGTGGCGGTTATATGTCAAAATTTGTCTAGTACATGATTTTAAAAGTCGCAGCTTTTTTGCCGTTTTTTACCAGATTCTCAACTTGTGGACGTCTAATAAYCTCTAGAGGATTGATCGCTATAATCTTGAATTGTTTTACTCCGTTATAGGTCGGTGTAATGTTAGTGTTATATGAGACGTTTCCGTTAATCGGTTTGCTTTTGTACGCGTAAAAACAAACCGATTCAAGAACGGCTTGATAACGTAGTAAAAAAAAATAAAAGACAAGCCTCTGCAACTACGGTACTATTAAAGCTTTCCCAAACTGTTATTCATTCATATCAAGAGTCATAGCGTCGTTCGGTAACATAATAATTACTATATATTTTAATTCCTGTCACTTCCTTTGTCCTCTAGACCAATCAGCGTTTCGGCCATGAAACGGCCGCCGAACACGGCTCTCGATAGAAGATTGTGTCAGGCTCTCTCTCCTTTCTCGCTCCGCCCCAAACCCCTTCGAGAGAGCCTGATACTCAGGCTATATATTTTTTTATGCAATTGCTTATTGGCTCTGCTCTCCCTGAGACGGTTCATGGGAATGATCTCTCCTACTGCACAAAAAGATCTTTTTGAACAATTTTCTCATCTTTTGGCTTTGGAAGCTGTAAAGATATGGATCAACTGCTGAATTTACAAGGGTCAAAAGTGAGGTTATTTGGTAGAGCACAGGTAAGTTTTCTTGGAGCCATTGGAAGGCAGCAATAACATATACAATGAACTGTGGAATAGAGCACAAAATGTAAGTGATGACTACAGCCAGTACACACAATGAGACCCTTTTCTTCATCTTTCTCTCTTGTATCTCTCTTACTGCTGTTGGCTGGATTGCAGTTTCCTTACACCACAATGACACACAGATCTTAATAAACAGCACAACAAGAACTATCAATGTGGATATTGAAAATACCATCAGAATGGCAGATACAGTCTTTCCTGCATCTTTATCATATGACATGCAATCTTTTCCGCTGTTTCCAGCCGGTAGAATCAGTGCAGCAGACAAAATCCAACAAAACAACATGACGCATTTTACATTTCTTATGGAAAACCACTTCTTGAATCCATGAGGTCTGCATACTGCGAAGTATCTCTCCACTGACAAAATTATCACAGTAAATATAGAATCAACATATGCAGTCGATGCAATTCCACCTGAGAAAAAAACTCGACAGAAGATATCGTTTTTGAAAACAATGTTGTGATATTTTGGCACAAACAATTTGAGAAAATACGAGAGGTGATAGAAAGTCAAAAAAACTCCATATATAAGGTCGGCAACAGCCAGGTTCAACAGCAGATGGTCTGTGGATGTTCGTTGTTTCTTCGAGATGATGTAAATCACTAGAGAGTTTCCCGTTACGTTGAATACAAATACGATGCAGAAAATAACAATCAGGGTGATATCAAACTCCATCTGCAATAAACCGGAAAAAAAAATTATCGGATTTTGTTTTTTTTTTTTAAATGTTTCCAAGACTATTCTGGAGAATCAAGAATCAGAGTTGACGATCTTCAAGCTTATCCTAAGAGTTCGAAATCACCCTATCGACTAAATTTTTGTTGAATACCAACAGCTGCTTACATGGTACACCTATTTTTCTAATTTATGTCCTTGATTTTAATTTGCCGTCCTTAATCCTTTGTTTTTAAATACCAATTATAAGATTTATTATACAAACAAGAATGCCTAAGGTGTCCACAACGAAATTTTTCTGTGAGAGGTTTTTCAATTATCTTGGTGAAATTGTAAATAGAAAAGAAAAATTGTAATTACTAGACACGAAATACGAGCTCACATGGGACTATGTAATTGAACAAAGATACTCCCGCAGGTTGCAGGTGGGGCTCACATTGTCGGAGAATCTAGAATTGCCGTAATCATACAAAACCTTGTATACAATCTACCAAAACATATTAGAAAAAAACATACAAAAGATGTTGCTACGAATTCAAAAGCAGCGTTCTAAAGATTCTTGTTAAACTTGAGTTTAAATTAATAATGACATCCATTCTACACCTGTATATACAATACCATTGGATTTAGTATACAGCATTTTAGTTTAAAAGTCAAACAAAAATCCCAAATATCTAACTTTATTGAGTTGAGAAGTGATTTAGTATAACATGTGTGAGTGCTCCAGAAAAATTGACCATTGATTACAGCACTTCCTATTACCAGCAAAATTTATTTAAAGAGAAGCATATCTAATCATTTCTTCTTGCAGCAGAAATTGTTTCCAATTGCATTACCATTGACAACGCAACCAAATAAGAAGGGTTTCTCCGGCCCAAACTCTCTCGGAGCGGCTAGGAACGCCTGGATACGCAGGCTAGATTCTCTTTTAATAGTCTCAATTATTGATTGTGACCTGTTCATGACGAACTTGTCTCTACCTTTGATCTCCTGTTTTGCACAAGACGAATGTCTTGATATTTTCCTCGTCCTTTTGGCTTTGGAAGCTTAAAATATACGGTTCAATTGTGGAATGTACAAAGGTCAATACAATAGCATAGGCAAGACAATCTTCCAATTGACCAACTACAAAACAATCAGAACATACCAGATAACTTATTGGAAAGACAAAAAAATATATCCAGCTACAGTGACTACAAGTAGTGTTAATCTCTTCTTCTTTATTTCTTATATGTCCCTAAGTGCTGTTGGGTGAGTTAATTGACCGCAATAACTCTGAGATTGTAACTGAAAGCACTAAAAAGATATCAAGATGACCGTCAGAAATACAACTGAAACAACAGACTGCTTCTTTGTCGACTTCCCATCCTGTGCTTTATAAAAAAGAATATATATTCCCGATCATTTTCCAACTGCGATTGCTTACTGAATCTATTGTCCGAGAGTTTGTTCCTGGGTAAGATCTTCCCGCTCCTTGCACGTGAAGATCGCTTTGAATAATTTTCTCATTCTTTGGTTTTGGAAGCTGTACATGTACGGGTCAAGTGATGAATTTATAAAGCTTAAAAATATTGTTATATGAGCGAGTTTTACAACTGTTTCTAATTCGGTGATCAAGTGAAAAACGTACAGAACATAACAGATATAAAGCGGAATGTTGAGGAATATGTACGTTACGATGACAGCTAGTACACAAAGTGTCACTCTCTTCTTCATCTTTCTCTCCTGTATCTCTCTAGCCGCTGTTGGTTGAATTGTAGTGTGCTTCCACCACAAAGTCAGGTAAATGTTTACTGATAAAGCTGCAATAATTAACAATGTCACCATTAAAAATACCATTGAAATGACAGAAAGAGTCTTAACTAAGTCTCTAGACCATGAGGAGCAACTCTGTCCGCTGCTTCTAGGCAAGACCATCGCAAGGGATAAAATCCAACAAAGTACAACACTGAATTTAACATTTCTTTTGGAAAACCACTTCTTGAAACTATGAGGTCGACATACAGCAAAATATCTCTCGACCGACAAAATTAACATAGTGAATGTAGAATCGACATGTGCGGCAAGAGCAATGTCACCAGTTGTAAATAAACGACAAAATAGTACATCGTCGAAGATGATTTTATAAGAGTTTGGTATAAATAATATCGAAAAAATTAAAAACTGAAGAATAAGTACAAAAACTCCGAATATAAGATCTGCTCCGGCCATATTCAGCATCAGATAGTCTGTGGATGTTCTTTGTGAACTTTGTTTTTTCCAGATGATGTAGATCACAAGGGAGTTTCCGATTACGTTGAATAGAAAAATGATGCAGTAAACCACGAGTAAAACTTTAAGTAATTCCATTTTTTTTTTTTTTTTCAAAACAAGACGATCATCGGTTGGTCTAAAATATTCATGTAAAGCTTCCTGCCTGTAAAACCATAGGAAAAGAAGTTCTAAGAAATCTATAAAGCAATTTACTTTGGGTCACCTTCTCAGTCGACCTTAGTCAGCATCCTTTCCAACTGCCGCGTTCGAAGTCGTGCACGAAGACAAGGAATAACTTGAATTAAAATGTTGCAATATATAAAAAAAAAACAGCTGTGGACATACTTTATATGAAACTGATATGCAAACTATGGAAAACTCATTTTAAGAGCAGCATGACTTCGATGTCATTATTACTTTCTTGTATCAAAGATTGCTGGCATTACATGAATCTCTATGTCATTATTTATACGCTGCTCTTTTACAAACAGTACATAATTACGTATAGTTTAAAACAAGATACGCAGGTGCAGTTTACTAGAAGTGAGTGACATATCGTTCCCTACAATAACTCTTCGAGCAATCTCCGAGTTAAAAATCTTACAAAAGCTGCTGTTCGAAAGACCGAAAAAATCCCGAATCCGGCAAACGATTGAATTTCAAAATACTTGGTCGTGATACGAGAGTTTTTTGAGATGGTTTTCAAAGAGCTATTTCTTTTTGTCATTTTCAAGATTTCAAGTCATATTTCCCGGAAACGTATATATAATAGAGTATTGTAAACTAAAAAAGGGATATACACATACTTGCGAAAACGTTGTCATAAAAAAATAGGATATTTGTATTTTAGTAAAAAGGAATAAATTAAAAAGACAAAGGAAGATCACTGAGGCTGAACGCTTTCTTTTGTCTTGTTTTAATTCAAATGCAGCAAAACTCGGACAGTCAAACCGGTTCAAACCGGTCGAAAAAAGCGAAAATTCATAGTTTATATAAGTTCAAAAGCTCGTGAGATTTAAGTACGATTGGGCGAGAGGCAGTCTATGAGAATAAATACAGTTGTAATGATAGCAATAATTTCCCTTTTTGCTTTCTAGAAAACCGGTCTTAACCTAAAAGATGACGAGATGTCACGACTTCTTCAACAGCTCGACCCAACCAGGACGGGAATGGTGTGTTGCAGGTAAGACTCATAATTCTAAATGTAAGGACAATATCGAGCAAAGATAATTATTATTAATAAAATAAAATTATTAATATTATTATTAATACAAAATATATATTTCACTATTAGAATTATACACGCTAAAGCGACTAGCTGTTGTGATGGAAGTTCAAATCGTATGCCAAAGTCATAAAGATGACACTTGTCGCAGCTTCAACCACTACCCCTCCACCATTTAAAAATAACAAAAAAGCAAAACGACGGAAAGAGATTAAAAGATCATCGTGAATTATAAATAAAACATCAAGAAGAATGTAGCTTCTTAATCAATTTTCAGAAGTCATGTTGAGGATTGTTGGCAAATTGAACCAGACAATAAAAGCGCTTTGTAAAAGCGTTATAAATAATCAGACTCCATGCTAATGGCAATAAGTTTGAGCGTTTATATTTCCCTTCTACCTCCACGTGAAAAGATTCTAGAAGCGACTATTTTTCATATGTGCACGTATTTCATATGACAAATGATCTCAAGAAGATCGTGTCCATGGCGACATTTGGAAGTAATATCTGTGATAACTAACTGTAAATGACAGTACAGCTGTTATGTTTTCTCATTAGAGCCGTGCAAATCTCTACTTTAATGTTAAGCTACGGTAATAACAAGTTTCATAATCCTTAGGTATTGACCAACACATTGTTTCCAACAGGCACACAAGACTTGGGTTTGAACCGCCATTGAAGAAAACACTCGGGAGTTCGTGACCACAATAAATTCAACCGAAGTCTAAATATATCAATTTTTATACAAAATCTATTTTTTATTTTGTAAAACTTTCAATTCTACATTTATGAATAAATATAGTATAACTTTGATCGCCGTCTTTGTTCCGAATACAATCATGTGAGGGTCTAGGCACAAGTTCAAACAGCGCTATCTATCTCTGAAAATTCTATAAATCTCGCACTTATAAACTTCTGATAAGAAAAAAAAGAAAAGAAAGGAAGGATAGGAAGGAAGGAAAAGTTCCCAGAAAAAAACTCAATAATTCGAGATGGCGACGTTGTTTTTAAAAATTATTACATAATGACTCTTCATTCATTCGTAGAGTCCTTCATTTCTACTGGCACATCGTTATAAACTGCACAAGGTTTTAAAGACTTTCGGGCTTCGTATTTCATAATCCTATCGACGTATAAACTTGGCTCCGCCGTGTCATAACCAGGTCCAGTTTGGGACATATCATGAATTGCATTGCTACCGAACGAGCTTGGCAAGAATGGAAAACCCTTCTTGCACATGCGTAAGACCGCTCTGCGGAAAGAGCTATACTTAGCCCAGTATATAATTGGATTGCAGCAACTGTTCACAAATCCTGTAAGCATCCCAATCAGAGAAATTGCCGTGTCAACCTTTTCTCCTTTGCCTATTTCAACGAATAGCAGAATGCAAAATGGTGACCAGCATATCAGGTAAGTTACGATAAGAGTTATAAGCGTTAAAACTCCTTTGTGTTTCGTTAATAATTTCTGTTTCATGGATTTTTTCTGCTTTTTTTCTTCGTGTTCGGCCATTTTAGGCGCTGTTGGATTAATCTTGAAAGTTTGGTCTTTGATTACTTTGGCAATTCTCCAGTAAACGACGAACATAACAACTAAAGCCACACCATACGTTCCACTTACTACAGATATTGCAAAGGCAAAGTTAAGTCCATACATAGACCAATCCTCTGATGCGCAGAATCCAATATAAGGGATGAAGCATTCGTATGAACTCACTCCCATAAGGGGGAGCAGTGCCCAGAAGGCCGAATACAACCAAAGTAATATACAACTTAAATACACACGTCTCTGAGTCATAATACTAGGATATTTCAACGGTTTGATAATTGATAAATATTTATCCACAGAAAGCATCATAAGATGCATTATTGAGGAGATACAGAAACAAAAATTGCCAAATCCAGTAAAGTACTTCAGAAAAACACCACAGCGCCATCTCTGAGTCCTTAAAGCATCAATTGCGCATGGCATTACCAAAAGTCCAACAAGCAAATCTGCCATAGCGAGACTGAATAAAAAATGATTGTTTACGGTAGATCTCAGTAAATCGCTTGAAGCAAACACAATCATTACCGCCAAATTACCAACTACTGTAAGAATCAGAACTATAATCATAATAAATGTGGTTATGATGACCAAAACCATCGGTAATTCGAAGAGTTTCAAAGGTTCTTGAGTTGAGTGCGCTTTTGAAGTAAAATTAAAATTTGTGAATGCGATAGAGGTATTCATCTTGACGCTGCCAATAACTTTTTGATTAGTAAACGAGTCTTGTATTTCAATTCATCTGTCTTCCAATTCACGCATCTATGAAACAAGAAGAGGGGAAACCATAGTTACTAATTAGAATCCATAGAAATTGGACGCTTCTTAAGATGTGGGTGAGCTTTTGAATGCGCCATAAAATACTACATTCATTTTACCCAAGGAAATGAAAGCGATCTTAACACCTAATATGATTAAAATTCACTTTTTTCTGTCTTTTAATTTCCCATGTGTCATTAAGCTATAGATTAACGATTTAGCAGTCAATAACGACAGAACGTAATTGAAAACAGATGGAAACATTGATAACTTGTATAGTTGACATAACAGAATTTTCTAGTTCACCACGACAAGTCGGCAAAGAGTTACTGCAGTCACAAGGCAGAAAAAAGCAATATTTTGTATTCAAACACTAGGGGGTCTTCTATGGATTTTTTCAAAAGGTTCATTATCTTCTTTTACTCTTAACCTAAAGCTTTCCATAAAATGGAAACAAGGCTTTTAATTCCTTGTTTTCGCTATTCTTTGCGACTTCACAATCATCATACACATTGTGTTTTGTTACGTCGTACATCCTTTGAATTTCTTCTAGCTTTTTTTAATGTAAACTTAAGCTTTTATTCAAATTATCAAATTCTGTTTCGGTTGCTAATTTATCATTTTTATATTTTTTCGTTGCTTATGTTGTTGTTTTTTTGGTTTTTTTTGCGTGTTTGTCTGCTTGATTGATTTATTGTTTTTGCAGAAATTTATTTTTATCAATGTTATTTTTCATCTTCTTGAGGTAATCGATACCTACATACAGCCAACGCTCGGCATTACGGACACCGTCGGACCGTAATTTAGTGTCCACACTACCGAGAGTCCGTAATAACGGGAGTCTCTTTCAGTCATTTCTTTGAATTTTTCGCCGGGTATTAAGTATTTCCTGTCCGTAATATCGAGATGTCCGTAATAACGGGGTGTCCGTAAAGCGGGAGTTGACTGTATATGTATTCGCATGTTGAACTGGAGGGCGCTCTATGGAGTGAATGAGCAAGGACAGATCATTTGTTCACAGCAGCTGCAATAATACAACGGACACGAAATATCCTCTACACATAGATAGCCAATTGGCCAATCTACTACTGGGTTTCAAAATCATCGAATGAAAAATGCACTCTCACATCTTTTCCATATTTCAAAAATAAAGATTTCTCTGTTGGCTGATAAAATGTCCATTTAAAAAGATTAGCAACAAAAAATGAATGTCGATATACCGTTCTTATCAACCATAATCCATTCATTAGTCTATTCACATTGAAAATCAATAAAACTTTTAATTAAAGCACGAAAGCTTTTAACCATTGTCGCTTCTATTAATGACATAATCCCGATTATGCGCTGTTAGTCTGCATGAAAACGTTGAATTTATGTAGTTATGTAATCATACCAGAAATGACATTCATGAAAATAAATCTACTAAATGAATCTTCACCAGACAGATTGTAGCCATTTCTTGAAAGTTTCAAAGTTTATTGCAAATTAAATAATTGTAGCTTTCTCAAAACGAAAATATAATGACTGCTGCGATTTAAGCAATATTTAAGCAATAAAGGACGCTGTGTGTTTATCGGTGAAATATGAAGCACGCGGGAAATGTTGAGAAAACACGAAAAAGAAATCCTTGAAATATGGCCCAAAAAATATCACAAGCGCAGTGAGTGTTTTTCAGTGTTTTCTCAACATCCCTGCGTGCTTTATTTCGATGATAAAAGCACGGAAATCCACCCCTTATTGCTTTTAAGATATAGAAAGGTAGTCATGCTCGCGATTGTAATAAATCACGCTTTTGGACAGATCAAAGCGCGCGTTCGTACTATTACATCATATCTTAAATACCTGAAAGATGCCGATCATACGTGACACTTCATTACATCATATTCAGATCGAGTAAGTACATGACCGACCTTATGTGCGCGCTGTGCTTTGCCTGCTTTCTAAACTTTGTCCCATTCGTTCGCAGACAAGTGATTTTCCTTTTGACAATTCATAGTAGATATATGAGATTTTGAAAGAAATATTCATGCTTTTTTTAACCCCGGAAAGAAGGAAGACTAGGGCTAATAAAAGTATATCCGAGTAGATTGTTCATATAATTTGTATTGTTATTACAAGAGAAAAGAAAAGTGTTTTTTGAAATTGTAAAAGCTTCCTCTTCCACTGAGAAGTCCAGGAAAGCCGCAGTTTGGGGTTATTGTAAATGAAACAGTTTCGAGTTCGTTTTCACTCAGGCAAAGTCTAAATGGTGAGGATCGATATTCCAAAACAATTGCAACAATGTATTTACAGCTAATGTTATCGTCTTTTTCACTCGCTAATTGCTTGCATTGAAACAAGCAGGCCGCTGCTTAATAAAGCAGATTATATAGCATTAGGTTTCCTGAAGAAAAGAAAAGAAGAAGAAGAAGAGGTGGACGAATACAAAAAACGATACCAAAACGCATTATGTACGTAAGAATATTACAAAAATTGAACAAAATCGTACAATAAAAGCTTTGATTTGCAACGTTCCTCTCTGTTTTAAACCATTAAGTAACGTCAAATTGTGTTCAGATTGACTGCAAGTTCTATTTATAAGAAGTCATGACGTAGATCTTTACAAAATGGGTCTATTTGAGATCAAAAAAATATTAATCACACTGCTAAAAAAAGTTCTAGTGGACGTCAGAGGTTTCTATAGTAGATATTTATATAAAACCATGGTAGGATGAATAAATATGTTATTTACCGGCAAGAGGGTCTGTTTGGCTACAACCTGTCTGATCAAAGTAGCACCCAATTTATCACTTCAATTACTTTGACGTCAATTGCTGTAAGAGTTAAAATTGTTATTGTTTTTTTTTTTTTTTTTTTTGTCATTGCTGATATGTAGGGATCGTTCAAATTAAGCGGTTCTCTCTTGATGTAAGTGTTCTGTTGTCTGGGTTTAGTAAATAACGTCATTATTCCCTCTTTGGCCATTGTCACCTGATCCTTGCTACCGCAAATTCAATGCCAGTCGCGACTTTTAATCATAACACTTCATACTTCTCATTGAAATAAGAATTTAAAGAAAACAGCCAAAGAAATACAAGGAAAAGTTAATAATAGCTCAATCATTACTCAATTCCAAAAGAAAAGCCAGCCATTGTGAGCAGTTAAACCATTCAATTTTGACATTGAGCGTTCACTCGTTGATTGAAAATTCTAAATATTCTCGAATGGCCTGTCAAAAATAAATTTTCACAAGAGTTTCCAATATTATAACTGAAGGATGATTGAACTAAAAATGTGCTATGCCACAACGCTTTGATTTTACTTTGATTGTAAACGATTTTTTAAAGTCGGCTGATGGGAGTGAATAATCTTCCAATATCTTCCTATACTATATCAGCAGAGTTAAATCTTTTTCAAACTGAACCCGATCCTATATATCTCCGCAAACTCATCCTCTAGACTGTTTTGATATAGCAAGAAACAACATTTAGAAATAGAAAGATCGAAATCTATATTTATCATACCTTTGAGATGATAAGCGAGCTTGAACCTTGAGGCGAAGTGGTCTACAGAATTTTTGTTAAAATTTCATAGCTTTCTCCCTCTAAATTTCTTAATTTCTTCAAATCTGAAAACAACTGTGAAGGGCAAAAGTCCATCGTTATGCTAATCGTGAAATGCACATCGTAATTAAGATCAAAAAGTGAAAATAGCACCCAAGGGGGTCTTCTATGAAATATTAAGTTCCCAGCAGTCAAACGCGTATCAGAGATATAAACAATAATAATGATTTTTACTGACGAGATATATATACTGGAATTCAGTTCTTAAAATATTTTGATCGGCATTTTGTTTAAATGCTAGCAGAGATCGCTGTTTGTTTMTTTTT